AAACAAACAAAACAAACAAACAAACAAACAAAATTAATGTGACTAAAGAGGAAAAAGGTGATACTTAGCAGTGATTATTTTGGCACAAACAGATTTTCATGTTCTTGTATTACTCTGAGAGTTTACATGATTAAGAAAGGTGCATTACAGTCTTTATATCTTTAAAAAATATATATGATTTGTTAGATTTTCATGGCAGTACAGGCTCAGTCTCTTTTTGGAGAAATTGATAAACTACTTGGCTGAGACTGTTGATAATTTCTTTCTGCCTTTGGCACTGGCTGATATTAGCAAAGTCTCTTTTTCCCTGTGCTTTTAGCTGTGCCTGACACCACCTAGCATCTATTTTCCATAAGAAGCAAAGCTGTTTCTTTTATTACGTGGTTCCACATACCTCTCTTCTGGATTGTATCACAAGGAAAAAGTCTTCCCCAATTCATTCCTGCCTGTATTCCTGTAGAATATTTTAGGCATGACAGCTGTCAGGGCTCTGATCAAGGATTTGATCCAGTTGGCTTCCTAGCCTGAATTGAGAATCTGTTTGAGAAGCCTTCAGTAATGACATTTAGTTTCTAGTGTGTTTTACTCCTGTTGTGCTTTTAAAAGAATTTATATAACTAGGAAAAGATAATAAAGTAGATGCTTTTATCAGTAATAGCAAGGTGAAGTTTGATGAAGTGGTAGAAGGGTCATGGTGGTATTTTGAGGTTGGAAGGTATTTTTTAAAAAGGAGGTTTAGGGCAGTGTCCATACCTAAGTGGATAGGGTGCTGGCCACATACACTGAGGCTGGTGGGTTTTCAACCCAGCTAGGGCCAGCTAAAACAACAATGACAGCTGCAACAACAACAACAAAGTAGCCGGGCATTGTGGTGGGCGCCTATAGTCCCAGCTACTTGGAAGGGTGAGGCAAGAGAATTGCTTAAGCCCAAGGGTTTGTGATTGCTGTGAGCTGTAATGCCATGGCACTCTACCCAGGGCAATAGCTTGAGACTCTGTCTCAAAAAAAAAAAAAATGGAGATTTAGGTGGTTATCATTTATCTTCTAGCTTCTTAGATCTCTCAGCTGTCCATTTGTTTCTCCTCCTCCCACCTGCTATTAACCCAAATTCAAAAAAAAAATACTGACTTTTCAGGAAACCAGCTTTTCTTACTTTCTTTCTTTTTTAAAAAAGTTTTTTTTTGTTTGTTTTTTCTGGTTGAGACAGTCCTACCCTATGCCCTGAGCAGAGTGTAATGGCATTATAACTCATTACAACTTCAGACTCAAGCTGTGGGCATCCCACTGCCTCAGCTTCCAGAAGCCACTAGGATTACAGGTGGTCGCCACAGCAACTGGCTGGTTTTTTTGTTTGTTTTTAATTTAATGAGTCGGGATCTCACTCTCGCTCAGGCAAGTTCTCAGGCACGTCTTGAACTCCTGAGCTCAAGCAATTCTCCCCTCCTCAGCCTCCCACAGTTCTGGGATTACAGATGTCAGCCTCTGTGCCTGGCAGGAGACCAGGTTTTCTTACAGGAAAAAAAAATATGCATTTTATAGAACATCTCTCTCAGGAATAGTTCTGTAGAGCTAATCTAGTGTGCATAACAGTTATGTCAATGAGATAGGTTAAATTATTTTTATACTTTACAGAGAAATAGAGAAGGTAACAGGTAACACAGTTTTGGATGGGTTTTGGGGTGTTTTTGGGTTTTTTATTGTATTTTTTCAGATTAATGTGAGGATACAGTGTTTGCATTTCTTAGGTGAGGTCCCTGTTGTTGTATCCCACACTCAGTAGGTGTTTTGTTGTTGTTACTATTGTTATTGTTGTTAATGAGATAGGTTCTCACTCTCACCAGGCTAGCATATAGTCACATGATCATCCTCAAACTCCTGGGCTTAAGCCTCCCAAGTGCTAGGACTGTAGGTATGCACCACCATGCTCAGCTAATTGTTCTTATTTTTTGTGAAGACAGAGGTCTCACAGTTACCCCTCTTTGGAGTAGATCTGGTGACCTATATCATTCTAATTTCTTTTTCTTTTCTTTTTTTTTTTTTTTGTGACAGAGTCTTATTTTGTTACCGTTAGTAGAGTGCCCTGGCGTTAAAACTCACAGCAATCTCAAACTCCTGGGTTCAAGCGATTCTCTTGCCTCAGCCTGGGAGGGTTGAGTAACTGGGACGGCAGGCACCTGCCACAATGCCCTGCTATTTTTAGAGACTGGGTCTCACTCTTACTCAGGGTAGTCTCCAACCTTTGAGCTCAAGCAATCCACCTGCCTCAGCCTCCAAGAGTGCTAGGATTATAGGTGTGAGCTACTATATCTGGCTCTAATTTCTTGTACTTCTGAAATGAAAGTGAAGAAAAGATTTGGTCTAAGAAGATAAGCCACCCCGTTTTAATTTTGGTTAGTTACTAAGTTGGGGATCAGATAAAAGGTTAATTTTTTTCTTTTTTTTTTTGGAAAGGGTATCTATATATTCAAAGATGATTGCAACTTCAAAATCATGATAGTTATGATCTATTATACTGTTATATGTTATGTTTTTCCTGTATCTTCTTTTTTTTTTTTTTT